GGGGGGTGTACGACCGCGTAGCCCCATAGAGAAGGACGGGGGCTGCATTCTAATAACACGCAGCACCTGTCCTTCCCGGCAGCTACTTGGTACGGCCCCGCACGCAGCTGTACGTGCAGACCGATTCGTGTGTGAATGGGGCCTAAGGTGTCATTCTTGGATATGTTAAATACACACAGGATTTATTTGCCTTTTATTTTTTTGTTTCATGGCATTTATGTGTTTTTGTTGTTTCTATGTTTTTAGCGCTGTTTCAAAAGATAAGGACAAGCAGTCTTTCCGGCTGCGTCAGGGCGTGGACAAGAAGATTGTTATTTACGTCCAGCAAACATCCAACAAAGAACTAACCATCGAGAGGTAACTTGAATTATAGAAGACGCATGCTGATCTTTATAAACGTTAGGGATATATCCATACTGAGTATTTGGGGGGAGTACTCGTACAGATATCTTCCCCGACACCGGAACTTTCCTCTGACCGGCAGTGCCGCGAGGTAACATGGAGCCGCAGTGATTCGCTGATTGGCCAGGAAGCCGGCTTCCCAGCCAATCAGGGAGCCGGGCCGTGGGTGATTCCTCTGACCGGCAGTGCGGCAAGGGAACATGAAGCCGCAATGTGATGGCGTGCAGCTCGGCTTCCTGATTGGCCAGGAAGCTGGCTCCATGATGATTTGCCCGGGAAGCCCAGATCACTGCAACTTCAAGTGAGTGATCTGGGCAGCTATACAGCCACCCAGATCACTTGTCCTTGTGTGCTGTTGTGTCGCCCCCATTCCTATGCTTGATAATCTGTATTGGAAGGCAGGAAGGACATCAGAGGTCTAATAGACCCCCGATGTCTCCATCAAGAGAACCTGTCACTAGGGATGCACTGATACCAGTTTTCTGTTATCGAGTACCAATATATATATTTTTTTCTGTACATACCGATACTGGCATCCCGAGGTACCGTGGGCCCCGCTTCCTGATTGCCCGGGAAGCCGGTGTTCTATCGCAAGAACACTAGCTTTATGCTCCCTCGCGAGGCAGCCGGACGTCCTGACCAATCAGAAAGCCAAACGGCACGGCATGACCTGCCGCCTGGCTTCCTGTTGGTCAGGGAAACAGGCTGCTTCGCGGTGTTGCTAGGCAGCGTGAAGCCGGCTTCCTAGCCAATCAGGAAGCCGTAAGGTGGGTCATGACGTACCGTCCGGTTTCCTGATTGGTCAGGAAGCCAGGCTGCTTCGTAGTGTCGCTAGGCAGCGTGAAGACCGCTTTCAGACCTAGCCAATCAGGGAGGCGGGTCATGATGATGTGCCGTCTGGCTTCCTGATTGGCCAGGAAGCCAGGCTGCCTCGTAGTGTCGCTAAGCAGCGTGAAGCCGGCTTCCTAGCCAATGAGGAAGCCGGCTTCATGCAACGTCTTTGCACTGCCGGTCAGAGGGAAAATTGTCCAAGTCCGAGTGTAGTGTAAATGGCGGACCGCGGTACGGACATGAACTGAGTGTCATTGTGTGTTTCAGGTGTTTCGGGCTCCTCCTCAGTCCAGGCAGAGATGTGCGGAACAGTGACATGCATCTATTAGAACTGGTAAGAATCGCTTTTTGTTTCTGTTATTGATAAAGTGATGGTTACCTCCAAAGAATTCATATGCAGGTGCTCCTCGGGTCGCAATCTGTTAATTTAGGATGGAGTTTGCTGTACTGTAAACTCCCACTTATCTGTCACCCACAGTGATCGGTAGGTGCCGGATAACTGTAGTTGCTGGTTGCTTGAGAGTTAATAATAACTCTCAAGCAACCATCGCCGAGGCGCTCCGCTTCTCCATTCACCCACCGGCTAGCTTCTGCAGCCGGGAGGTGAATGTAAACAGCCAGACTGCTATTGGCTATTTCAAATTGCAGTAGCCAATAGCAGGCTGGCTATTGCACCCGTCCACTGAGCAGAGGAACGGACCTGAGACGATGTTCTCTCTCAGGTCTCTCAGGTCCTCCTCTTAGTGGGCGGGGCTTCGATAGCCAGCCTGCTGTTGGCTATTGCGATTTGAAATGGCCAATAGCATAGCAGTCCCCATTGCGTAATGCCTGCTGCCGACCGCGTCAGGACACTCCTCGGTTTACGATACCATCGCGTTACTACGGGTTTATCAAGCGTAAACTGAGGGGCGTCTGTGGGATTGTGCAGCTGAGATGTGGGCGCGGAGCGATAGGTTTTACCATGGTCCCCTTGATGAGGGCCCAGTCGCACCATATCCAGCGTTCCGGCGCAGGAATGCCCTCTGTTCCGGCGCAGGAATGCCCTCTGTTCCGGCGCAGGAATGCCCTCTGTTCCGGCGCAGGAATGCCCTCGGTTCCGGCGCAGGAATGCCCTCGGTTCCGGCGCAGGAATGCCCTCGGTTCCGGCGCAGGAATGCCCTCGGATCCGGTGCAGGAATGCCCTCGGTTCCGGTGCAGTTGCGGTGCAGGAATGCCCTCGGATCCGGTGCAGGAATGCCTTTGGATCCGGTGCAGGAATGCCCTCCCTTCCGCTGCAGTGCGATCTGAAAAAATTGTGCCACATCTCACATAGTCAGATTGTGCCTGCGGTCCGGTCCGATCAAAATAGTGCTTGCAGCATTTTGATCGCACCGGACCGCATGCACAATGTGCCTTGCGATCGCATTGCGGCCGGAGGGCGTGGCTACGGTGCCATTCACTTCAATGGCTCGCCCCCTCCTGCCCCGCAAAAAAGTGAGCCGGCGGCAATGCGATGCAGTGCGTTCTTGTCAGAATCGAGCCGGAACGCACTGCATGTGGTGTGAACGGGCCCTGAATGTGAAGTATTCTGGTGACGTGAAGGACGGTCTTTGTTTTTTAGGAGTCCATGGGTAAAAGCTCCGACGGGAAGTCGTATATCATCACAGGGAGCTGGAACACCAAGTCCCCGCATTTCCAGGCCGTCAATGAAGAAACTCCAAAAGGTACTTTTGCTTGCTATTACGCAATACAGTAAACTCCCCGTTATCCGGCATTCAAGTAACCAGAACTCTCAAGCAACCGGGGGGGACAAAATCGAGTGCAAATGTCCTCAATTTTTTTTTTTTTTTGCCAGTTGCTCGATAGACATGGGCACACTAAGAAAATGTTGTTAGCAATAAAGCAATTACATTGATTTTAGGTGCCAACGAAATTCTGTGTTTACATCTTGCTGCGGCCGACAGCTAGGTTCCTCAGCTGGCAGGTGAACAACGGGCAGTGGGCGGGAGCAATAGCCAGCCTGCTATTGGCTGTGGCAATTTGAAATAGCCAATAGCAGAATCTAGCCAGCAGATAAATGGGG